AATAATGTTACAAAATGATGTTTATAAGCTTACACTCACAAAGCAAAAAACCTTCAAGGATTCTTATTTTCCTATTTCCTAGAAGTCTATCTCTTCTCTTCTTTTCTGGAACTTTCAAATTTTGGTCTTCAACAGACCGTTGCTAGATTGGTGGGAATGCCAACCATGCTCCTAATTTCCAAAGCTTTACTTCTTTTTTGTGCTGCTCCACTCTTCTCTTGCACAACTTCGATTTTTTGTTCCGCATTTCGAAAGTGTTTGAATTCTCAATTACCCGTATCAAACAAAGTAGGTCCATCATATTGAAAAGAATGGTAGAGAGCAAATTATTGCATTATCAGATGAAGCCGTGAATCAACTGACTGGTATTAATCGTGTCGTCGTTCCATTTGTTGCATGTGGTGATTTGTGCGGTTTTGATAGTGATGGCAGTTACCCGTTGAATCTACCGACTATACCGTCTGGACCGTTAGGATCCGAGTTAGTTTCTTTCTTAATTGTATTATGTCCTGATCAGATTCGCTTCTCCAGTGACTAATTTCGAATCGCAGCAATCGTACATTCTTGCCATGTGGGAAATATGAACACGGTCTTGCGTCTGGTTCTTGGGTTAAAAAATGTCAGAATAGGAGCAATCTGCAGCCTCAAGTTAGTAAGAAGAAAACATACCGGCGTGTTTTGTTTTTTGTTGTTTTGTTAGAGCGAAAATGTCGAGGAAGAGGTCAGCAATCAGCGTAAGCAATTAAATGAGGTCACCCAAGGCAGGTCTGAGGAGGGCAAGGCACATTACAGTATTCCCTTAATTGGCTTACCGTATACAGTTATATTCTAAGTTCCGCCACCCCGGGTTGGTCCGCGCGTTGAATGTCCCATGCATTCTCTCCTATCCAGACAGTTGTGTAGCAATTTGAGTGGCTATTTCAACCTATACAACCTTGTGGCATCATTGGTTTTGACCAGGAGTGTATTTTTTATCCTCCCTGGAGAAAGTCTGTACTATTTCCGCCGACACCCGGGGGAGGGGAGGTGGAAGGCTTGGACTTGGACGACGTACCATCCAGAATTTGATCCTCCATCCGCGCGCGTGATAAGCAGTGCTACTTGCCTCTGTATGCGCACTTCTTCCCTCTCAAATTTAGTTACGACTGAAAAGGAGGTTGTTGGAGTTCCATTCGAGATAATTGGCAATGAATGTAACCTTAGGTACGTCTTTCGTGATGTTGTCCAGCCTCCAACTGAGCCGTCGTACAAGGAATCAGTGATGATCAAGAAGCTTGACCGATTGGTGGTTGCGGAGAAGTATTCGGGACAACAGGTATGTGAAAAGTCGAAGTTCTTCATACGTGAGATTTATAATCTAGCGTTCCTCGAAAGCAGACCACAGTACATAAGCTAAAGGTGAATGAGGAAGTATGTAAACCGAAAACCAGAGCTTTCACGCACTGCACGTGGTACATATAAGTTTGACAGCGTCGGAGGTAAAAATCTATGGAAAGAAAGCTAGTGTACAAACAGAGTTGGCCAAGGACGCTTGAGGCAACCTTCTAAGCGTAATCGCTCCCATTTTCTGCTCCTCTATTCCTATGTCGCTCCGCCTCGAATTTGTTGCTCCTGCCACTCGTCTTTAATCGTCTGCACCCTTGTTTTGCACCTGAGTTGGAGTACGGCGTTTGAGTTGGCCATGCTATTGGGGAATCTCATTCCGCCCCCAAAAAATTAGCGAAGAGTGAATGCGCGATAGCACATCATGGAAGGTAGCAGACACCGCATGTGCTGTGAATGAGTAAAAATGGAAGCGGTTGCAAGCGCAGTCGTATGCGCCATTGCTTCTTTTTCGGGTACTTCTTGAGCTGCGAAGTGGCTGTGTTTAGGGGTACATCTACCTCACGGGCGAGGATTAATAACGACCCTTGGCTTCGAAAATCGTATGCGGACTGGAAACTATGTGAAATTCGATGGGCTCCAACGGTAACTGAAGCTTGCGCCTTCATTTCTCCTAATAACTGTGTAATGCATAACCGACCCTAAAAATACCTGAGCTTTGATTGGCTTGCATGGAATTTTGTCCCAGAAGCAGGTCTATGTGAGGTGCCCCTTGTCTCTGCGCCAAGTTAGCCTATCAAACGATATGCAAACGAGAGATGGGCTACAGCAGTCACTCCTAGCTGCAACATCCGAAGTCCTTTTTGTATTCACAGTCGCTCACAGATCACTGAGCGACAAAACTCACTTTCGAGTCTCTTTGGATGATAGGATGAAATTCCTTATCGAACCTCTTCTGTGTGCTAGAAGTTTCTGATGCACCTTGGTGTCGTGAATCGTGGTTTCTTCTGTTAAGGTGGCGAAGTCGGTGCTGCCATATGTACGACCCGTAAATCCGGACGCTAGTGATATCGGTTATGGAGACGAGCAGGTAGAAGCATTAGCCAGCCTGTTGCTAAACGAAGAATCTTGAAAAGTCTGTAAGCAATGTTATGGTACAGTTTGAGTTGTTATTTTTACCTACACTTTTTATAGTTATCGATTGTTGTGAATTTGGTTTTGGTATCAGATCTTGTTTTGGATTTTTGATAAAAGAAAGTGATAATATTGTATTTAGTAATATTTTTAATGAAGGATTTCTTCAGCCAACCAGTATCCATTGCCCTTAGATAGTCTTGGTCACTTAACTTGTATGTATTTAGTTGTATCCTTCTTTTTATCAGACTGATATTAAGGCTTCGTGATTGTTGGAATAAATACCATTGTGAAGTAATATGCTGTTTTCGAAAATATGATTTGAGAATTGTCCACTGCCTTTGTGGGCGTGGTCGGAGGTCGCGTTGCGGTCGCGTGTAGCGGTAAAGGCAGAGCAGTGTAGCTATTGAGTAAGTGCTTTTGTGCTGTGTGTATGGTTATGAAATGTCTGTAGCTGTATTATTATGTATTGTAGATGTATTCATAGCTGCGCCATCGTCCTGCCTGAATTTTTCGATTCCTAGCTAGCAGACGTGGAGATACTGCGCGTTGGTAATAGACGCGAAAGCGAGGGGTACCTGAACCGGAAATGGCAGCCGACTGGCAATTTCTTCTCGCCCGTCTTTGGCAAACTTAGGACTAGATTGATGTCGATCTGTATGACACACAACGAAAACATCAATATACCGGAATCTCTACCGTAATCCTAATGAGTAAGTGCGTTGACGGTTACTATGCCATATCTTTAACGTTTGGTCATCCTTTAGAAGTAACTTTTTCGAGAATTTGTTATGCCAAAAATTTGTCAGCACCTCTCCAATAGGTACCGTACCATTATTGAGATGTTTTAAGGAGCTGCATGGGAAAGCAATTTATTTCAACCCAAAAAGGACCGGTAGGTGCCTGGTCAATACCTCAGAAAGAGCTTGTGTGCCCCACTCCCATTCTGCCGTAGTAGCTATCGTTCTTTTACAGGGACTGTCCCACTCAACTCTCATGTTATGAACCAGCTTTTGATTTCATTTCGGTGTCGCTGCTTGTATTGTTCCTGTGCTCAACGAGCAGATCAATACTTATCAAAAGCATTGCTTGGCTATTTCCTTAGCTATTCACCTAGAGGGCGGAAGTGGTGCAGTGGCAAGTGGCACGCTTACCACAGTCCGGGGATCAAATCCTGGGTCGTGAGTCGCCCGGGCCAACCAAGCTTTCCATCCCT